CATTTTCTGGTTTTCCTATCATCCTTTTCCCCCACTACTTCCCTGCTTCCTGAATGTCACCTATCTGCTTGCAGCCCACGCTCTTGAATGCTTTCAGGCAAGTAAGGCCCTGTTCAGAGATGTCCGCTTGCGAGAAAAAACGCATAGGCGAAATAAAATAAAATATGTATCGACTGAAGCGAAGACGCACAGGCGAATCGTGAAGTGGGAGGATCGACGAAAATGAGTATCATACGCATCGACTTACGAACGCTTCGCTCACGCGATTTTCCGCCTGTGCGTTTCTCACAGTCGATACATATCAAACTCTTGACTGAAATTCGCCTGCTCCAAGCAGATTGGTGACATTCAGGAAGCAGGGAAGTAGTGGGGGAAAACGAAGAGGAGGACTTTCCCCTCAGCTGGTCAGGTCCAGTGGTAGCACTACATTACAGGTGACCATGAACAACAAATAAAGTAATGTGCACTAACAACTGCGATGTGGGTGACATTAGTAAGTTTTCAACTAACTTGTTGCAGAATAAGATTCAGGCAAAGCGTTTCTTCCCAATTGTAGCTCTGATCACACGGAACCGGCAGATTCTTGCTCGATCTCCGAAACACTTGGACCAACTGCTAAAAACAAAAATTTAACAGTCCATCAGACGTGCAGGGTGTGCAAAAATTACGGCAAAAATAATAAATTGGTGGGAATAAAAAAAGCAAAATTAACAAAAACATATTGATGGAAGATTATCGAACAGAAACAGTGCTATTCCCTATGATGGCTGATACCTGTGATGATACATGAATAGAAACTTCACGGATGCTCATTGTACCTGTTGTGCAGGTGGGTTTTGTCGAATAGGTTCAAGGCTTTCAGAAAGCGACTGCTCAGCTAATCGAATTCCAGTATGGTTATGATTATGTAGTGGATTGCCCTTGACAGACATAAAGCAGCTTTCATATAGGAATCGAGTTGGGAGAATTGTGCTGCCAATTCTTCAGTGCAATCATTCCCGAGATATCACCGTATCAATCAACACGTATCTGATCATTTCTGCTTATTCTCCCACACTACTACTATCCAAGCGCGAAATTGTTTCACAAGATTTTGTAATCTGCTATTTTTATGTCATACTTCAATACTTGCCCAATACTCCCATAGCCCTACTATACCAATATCTTTCAAACGAAATATGATAATCTCGTTTTTCTTATCTACTGACCTCCTACATTTCCAATCAATATATGCATTTTTCATTGTCGCCTTCTATCCCAATCTCTGAAGTCGTGAACTAAAAATGCTACCTTACGGGAAATAATTGTCTTTTCCTCAATCAAACAAAGAATTTTGCAAGTCGATTAGAACTAAGCAAGTGAGACAACAGCGCTTTAAAGGCTGAACGATTGTAAACAGGACGTTACAAGGTCAGGCATTACCAAGGAGATGCTAGGCAAGCATTAAAGTATGACATAAAAATAGCAGATGACAAAATCTCACTGAACCATTTCGCGCTTCTACAATCAGAGAGCAGCCTACTTGGTTGCGTACCTGATCGATTACTGTTTTGATGTCATGAAAAATCAAACTAGTCTCATTTATTGTTGTAACGTATGACTATCGCCAACAAAAAGGAAATAATGGATCACACTCAATATTCAATCCAGATAGAGTAACTTTAAGTTTAAATAGTGACTCACAGAATGCCCTATACAAAAAGGTGTGATTTTAGCTTGATGTACATACCATATCATATCATCGCAATGTGCTGAAATAAGCATGATGATAAACATGGTTATGAATAACCCTTTCAGCTCTTGATTATTTTCTTTTCAAATTTCTGTTGAAGCTGACGTGTGCAAAGCAAAGTTTCCAAAGGGAAAGTGGTGGCAATTGCCATCGCCAGGGCCGAAAAAGCGTTGTGTGAATGCTCACCTTGACATGCTTCATTCTGACAATAAGCTGTTCCAAGTATGAACTCCATGAAGAGTTTCGCCCACTTGACTTCATTGTTTTTAAGCACGCAGTAATCACCGTCTGAAAATAGATTCTTCTCATTAAACTCCAATTCAACAGATAACCACCAGTTTCTTAGCTTTCGTGAACTAACCAGGAAATGCTTTGAACTTCCCATGGAACTTTGGAAGGAGACCTGGATGTATCGATAGTCTTGAACGCTGATTACAAAGCTCAACTAGTGGAATCACAGTCGCCGTGGCTCTGCGCCAAAAACGAGTCTCATATTCGTAATCAGGGCACCCATTTACCCTTATAGAACAAGTTCCAGGCAAAAAGCAACCGTGTTTCCACATAGGTTGCACCTCATCATTAGCGTTCTTTTGCAACTTTTAAGGCTCACAACTTTCTTACAAAGTTCACGTAGCAGTTTTAGTGTCCATATTTGTAATCAGCGTTCAAGACTATCGATGTACCTAGGTCTCCTTTCAAAGTTCCATGGGAAGTTCAAAACATTCCTGGTAAGTAAAGGGTAGTAATGAAGATTACATGCCTCAATCCATTTTTATCGCAACATTTTTACATGACTCAGAGCTACTTACGAAACTACTGCACTATTAGAAGCAAGCAAAATCAGGAAAAATTTTGCCGTCTAGAGTCGCTCGGTACCCTGACCACGAATATGTCATTAGTTTTTCGCACCGGTACAGTTTGGCATCAGTTTTGCCGCACAAACCTGAGCAGATGGCACCGCATTTCGAAGCACATCAATCTTATCAAAAAGAATAGGTCCATTGTTTCTTACTGATACAAAACAAAGTTACTGGAAAAGTTGCCCCAGATAAAAAGCCATTGCTTCTTACAAAGAAAATTCAAAGTCTGCTGTCCAAAAAAGGACATGCTGTTGCAATGCTCACAAAAGGAAACATGTCTAAACTGCTACATGTGCCGAAAGGCAGCTCTTATAACAAAAATAGGCGCTATCGCAAGATACGGGGCGCTTGCCGCTAACAAAAAAAAACGCAGGGTAATTGTTGTCAGAGCTTACAAGGCTATTACCTGAACAAAACATGTCAGGAAGTACGTCTTGCTGGATTCTTCAAATTAGGAATTAACAAAACAAGGTATGTCAAAAATCACAGATAAGCTTCTTGTAATAGTTAGATTTTCATGTCTGTTTTTTGTCTCAATTTTTCCTGTATTGTATGTAGTTAGCTTTCTGATTTTGCCTCCCCCTCGAATTCCTCACCTTATCGGCTCACAATTGGTTCTCACGCAATGCAGCAAAAAGTTCGGTAGAAAATAAAAAGGAAAAATTCAAAAAAAAAACTGGCATGGGATGAAGCCGCTACCTCTTCGTAATTTCAAAAGCTTCTGAGCGAAAGTGGGAGTAAGCGATTCACATTGAATGTTGCACCGCCCATGGCTTGCGATAATGAATTATATGGAACTTTTTGACCGGCGGAGCGGGTTTTGAGGGTATAGTTCGCTGGACTTTTCCGCTTTACGCAGCATAAAACTTTCGCCGCAAGAATCTCAGTTCCACTCCCGATCAGTGATGGACCTGAGATTCTGGGGTTGTTTCGCGTTGTGGAAAGCGGAAAAGTCGTTTTCTGTCCCAGCGAACCAAACCCCGGTTTTGCTTCGCCTTTGCTACAATTCTGAATGCAAAATATGTCTTGCGATATTTCATGCGTAAATCCAGGCCACTACCTGATATGAATGCACAGCTTCGAACGCGTAAAAAATGCAAAGGGTTGTAGGCTAAAGATTCGACCCAAACGAATTTTTCAAACTGGAAATTTGAGTTTCTCAGGCATGTTTCACGAGCGCGAATCCTACCTTGTCAAGGAACACATAAAAAAAGAAGCCACCACGGTTTCTGTGTAGTTTCTAAATTAGGTTCCAATCCATACGGCTTAGCCGCCAATGTAGACGCCTGAAGTACATTTCGCATGAA